TCAATAATTAGGAATAGCATTTTTTAAATTTGTATGGCATTTAATTGGTAGGTATTCATTGATTTGTGTGTACACATAATAATAAAAATAAATAAATATCTCACAATAATGATTAAACATATAATAAATGAAAAATAATTTAACTAATAATAATTTTAGATCCTTACAGAAATGTTTATAGGTATTACGGTTATTACATAGATATTTAAACCACTTGAAAACATTTCATTAGATAATCAGATTAAAAAAAAAATACATAATATTTTAATTTAAAGTCATTTCTTTATGTTTCTTAATGTCCTTTAAAAATCATGGCGTGTTTCTAATAGTTCTACCGCATACAATCTACTACTATGCAAGTCTAAAAGACAAAAGAATACACACTAACATTTTTAATTACAATTATATAAGGGTGTGGCAACCTAGATAATAAATATGGTAAATGAGTAATAATAGGTAATAAAAAAAGATACTTACAGAACTAACAGATTATAAGATGAATAGTTAATTTAAAATATAAACTTAAAATATTGAAATCCTTATATATTAAGATTTAGATCAGTTTTATGAAATAAAAAGCACCAATGATTATTGGTAGTACTCCAACAACAAGTGTATCTGATCCACTATGAGAAGTCTTGCAATCTTCAGGTTGCAATTCATGAGGAATTTGTTTACATATGGCATCCATAAAAGGTACTGTTGATGCAAAGTCTTGAGTAGAATTCTTGTATAATAAATAAACCACATTAGAGACAATAGTAGAAATTGTAATAATAATAGTCAATAAGTGTTTATTGTTTTTTATAAATTTAAATTTACCTTATTGATTAAAACTTTGGGTACAGTTGTCACATTGGCAGAAGAAGACTTATTCTTATAATCTTGCAACAATGGGTTAGATTCTGTATTATTGGTAGCGCAATTAGTGATTTCCGTAATGACAGAACTATCAATGTTACTATTTTTGCCGCACTATAACATTTTTAAATAGCGAGTTATTATCTAAAAACTAATAAGTAATAATGCAATTAAAAAAATTTATTTCAATATAAAAATATTTTGATAAGAGAAAATATAGAACAATATTACTTCAGTAAACTATGGCTATTTTGTACTATTTTAAAAATGATGCAACAAGTACACATTTGTGAAGGTTTTGGTATAAATATCAGATATTAAATCAATATGGGTACTAATGGATCAATACTTAGCAGTAGCAACTGCATTCTTTAAAAATCTTTGCATTTTAAAAAGGTAGGTAGGTAAACTACTTAAAACAAAGATTAATCAAATTATGAAATTTTGTATTACTAGAAACCAATTATTTAATCATACAAATGCATATACCAGGTCGATTGGCACTGTTTTATTTGGACTATTGTATCCTTCGGACAGAGAACAATTCACAAATTTTATTAAACGTTCACTGTCTTTTATTTTATTAATACCACAAGCATGTACTCTATCGGCGACACACTCTCCTTCACGCCTACATGTGAAATTTAAAGTTTGGTCAGCATTAACAGTGATCTGGAAACAATAACAATAATATTGTAAAAAATAATATAAATTAATAAACTAGTTATTGACTTTTTTTAAACTTACATTTCCTTGAGCAAAAGGAATAAATGTCACATTGATAAACTTGTTTAGTTTATTAAATGTAGGCATTAATTGGTTTGAGACAAACTTAACGCTGTCCGAGCACAAAGCTTCATAGTATACTTCAATATCCACAATATTTTTCTGCAATAAAAATATATTAGTAAATTACATAATATTAAAATAATATATAATAATTAGTTATTACTAATACAATATTAATACTATTACATATTCTGCATTCATTAGATTTTAACTTTAAATGCACCTATAACCTACACCTGTATTTTCTTTGTATACTCATTCTATAACAAAACAAAAGTTTGAAAATATCCATTGCCTTCATTAACCAATAATACAATACCTACCTATAGTTAATTGTTATAAACTTATAACTTATAACATTATAATATATTATATTTTCTAGATCACTTAAACTTTAATGTTAAATCATATATTCAATAACTCGCATAATAGCTTCGATGGGATTTTTATTTTATAAATATTTAAAATATTATTGTACATGTTGTAACTGGTTAAAATTTCAAACAAGAATACGCGTATCTTTATTGTATAACAATGATCATCGTATACAAGTTCGCCAAATGCGTGTCTATTGTGCACCAGAAACAAATTAACTCTGGCGGTATTTAATTCGAAAACATGTTAATTACCCGAGGTAATATTAAGAAAACAATATAAAAAACATAATACGGTTATATATTATATAAAAATGTTTTTTAATTTATTTTGTTTTGTTGTTTATTGTTTGTTTAGTATTATAAGACATGAATGTAGGAACAATTGAATGACGGAACTTTTTTACTCAAAATATAATTCTGTAAATTGTAATATTATAAAATTCAGCCGACTGTATTCAAATTTCAAATCAAATCATTTTTCTATATCATATACATTTAATAAAATACCATCAACAAATGACAAATATGGAATAAAAACCATATTTATAAATGTTTTAACATATATTTAGTAAATATTATTTACTGACAGAGATTATTATCGCTGTGTCATATCAGTGCGTATTACATCCAGACTAAAATCATTCGCTATTCATTTTCATTTCGCTGAGTAGCAGTAACTAGTAAGTGCTTTAACGAAACGTTTCGGGTGAAATGTTGGAACTAAAAACTGTGTGTCGTATATGTGTAGGAAGGTTGATTATATTATAGCCAATAGCCATACAGGTACCTACTTATGTTCCTACATCTACATTAAAATGTACAGAGTTATCGAATAATAAAGGTTTTGTTCAATTATTACGATTACAATCCAATCTTCACTCGATTACACCATTATTTACTACCCGTCTATTGAGCTCGAAAATCATAGAATTATTTTTGGGATACCATATTTTTCATTGTTCCATATCACAATGAAAAAAAAGTTCAATGCACTGAACTGTTCAAACATATTACATATGAGTCTGTTATAGAATTATGGCAGTAGCATTTAACTTGTAGATAAATTATATTTCAAACAACCATTTTGTAGTTTCGTGATTTTTTTACATCTAACATATTTATAAAACACAATTAGTATAATGACTAAGCGTAAAAAAAATATTTATAATGTATCCAAACATTAATTTAATTTATAAAATGTAACATGCAACGAGTTCATTAAAGTAGGTGAAAAGTTTACTTATAATTGATTATTTTAATAAATAATGGTTATAGTTTGTCATATGTCACCAATCCTATTAATAAWTTTTTTTTTTTATAATGACCTACTTTAATGAAATTTTTGTAAAAAATGAATAATCAATTAGGTATACTTTGTACAAAACGTTGTGTTGGTAGTTAGTAGCTACCAATTTGTCGCACCTAGGACCTAGAATACCACAGGTATAAATACGAGTAGTATTGAGCAACATACACGCTTATATGCTTAAGGAGTTATCGCACTTCACACGTCGAACACCTTTATGAATAGAGGTAAACGTGTTTTATCTGTCGATACAAAACTTATCATTTGTAAATGCCCATCTAAATTATTTGAAAATACATGGTTTTAGGAAATCAGGGGCCGGTCGAGCAGGCCACACACCCATAATCTTGCACTTAARGGGTCTAGTGCAGTCGCGCTACTCATGTTTATGTGATAAAATATGTCTGGATATTATATTATATACAGTTTGYTCATAATAACAAMAAATAAACTAGTTTATACAATATTTTTTACATATAATTTATTACTAACAAATTATAACATTATAAGATAAACAATATGAGTAAACGTGTTGACGTGTTATACATTATTATACTGTAAACTACTTTGTCTCAAGAGTTTCGTAAAAACCTAGTACCAGCACTTATGTTGGAAATCTAGTGGAGTTAGTACTTTTCAATTTTCTCAACAATGCCGAAAATGTTTAAAGAAATGTCACAAAGTGTGGTTTTCATCAGTGACCACCACCCGCTGAGTGTCTGGAGTGTCACGTAGGGTTTTGTAATGTTGTACAACTACAAAATATGCAGTATATTTGATAATCATCAATTTGTTCGGAACGTTGTATATCTAATGCTTTTATTAGCCACCGCGCCATCTTAGATTGAATCTTTAGTCAAGGAATTTACCGTTGGATTTAATCGTAATGCTAAAATAGTTCTTAAAACTATCTTTGTGTTATACCATAATATCCTATATACTATAATATATTAGTTATTGATACATATACTAAATATCGATTATCTTAAATGATGATATCTCGATAAATCGAAATAACAATAATACCAAGTACAATAAGACAACGATAATGATGATTGATAACACCATGTGATTCGATCATAGCGACCAGTCTAGATGTACCTGTAATGTATAGGTAGGGCATACATTTGTAGAGTAATACTAGGGTACAAAATGTAAATGGTATAATATAGGTACACAAGATTTAACTGACGATAGTTAGTGGCGCGGATAAAAGACATCGGCGGCCCAGACGCGCCTTTGGAATTCCCGATATACAATACGACTACCCCTCCCTTCAACAATACTCTACTCAGAAATCTGGCCATGCTGAGAGGCCTTATATATACATACAATTTATAAATATGTTGTATTCATGCAGTTCTCGTTTTGTCCGTTTACCTCTGTATAGAAATTCAATAGGGTTAACGTAGTTACCCGCGACCTGAGAGGGTGGAATGGTGAAGGGGTAGTATGGTCTAAGACGGGTGATGAGGGATGGGAGTGGGTGAGTCTCGGTTGTTTTTTTACCCCTTACACCGCGTACATACGACCAACCGCACGCCCCGTAGACCTGTCTGCGTAGCTACACAGACTGGTCGGCGGGTTATGTATATATAGTTATATATATTACATAATATATTATAGTGGAGAGGAGGGCCCGCACACCGTCTGGACCATTTTATTATTCGCGTGCGAAATCTCTCTGTCTCTCTACACATTACAACCCATTCCCGTTCTCTCCAAATCAACCCCTTCTCACTYGCCACACAAGCCCACAGTTTCCCACATCTCGTCACTGTATCGGCACAACGGCTAGCTTATGGCGCACCCCTTTTCCTGAGGCTAGTTACGAGAATACCGGGGGCCTTTACACGAAACAGACTCAAATTCGAAACAACTACTATAGCCACAACGTATTCAAACACAACATTTTGAAATAACGTACATTATAGCACTATACACTATATATACTACAATATACCATTATAATATGACAAATAAAACGTAATTTTTTACAACTCACTGTATTTCTGTTAAAAATAGTAACGATCTCTAAATACCTATATAATAATATGTGATTATAGATTTGTACRCAATACTTTTTTATTTAAAAATTGCAATAATGAAATATTATATAATTTTAGTACCTTTACGTATCTAATGTATAAAGTTATGAAGATTATTGAACTTATTTAATTACAAAAATATTCAATTATTATACGAGCACATTATGCTATATTATAATATTTATTTTAATCWTTAACTACCTACATATTATTTAAAAACTGTTATGTATTGAACTTTTGTTCAAGATTTATAAAATATAAAAATACAATCTATTATTATATTTATATAATTATTAAATAGGTACTTATAAAACATTCACCTAGCTTAAGATTACAAGTTACAACATCATTTATTTAAATTAAAATATAACTAGGCACTTTTGTTATTGTAAAATTTTAAATTTAAATTACGTTTATTATTTATGCTGTTTAAAAYAGGTTTACTAATGAAAACTTTATGTTAAAATATTGATGTACTGTAACGGCATGTAGAACTATAAAAGTAAACACATTGATTTTGCATAGACGCATTATTAAGTAAATATTGTCTGTCAATTGTAATTTTTATCATAACTACGCGCAAGTGTTTCTATGATAATAGGATAATATGTTAGCAGCCGTTGGTCGGATAAATACAATATGAACAACTAAAACATTTTCACTGAGTAATCGTAATAAGTAGTATTAACAATTCATGTAAAAATTAAAATGTATATTAAACAAGCATTCACATTAAACAGTATCATCTAGGTCTTCGAAAAAACTCAAATGGAAAACACGAGCTGTTTAAAAATAAATAAAACTTATATATTGTTTTAATAATTAATACAACAAGAATATTTAAATTTAAATTTGTATAATTGTATGTAATAATAGGTATACACCCATATTTAAACTTAAAAAAAAAAAATATTATTATACTTTTTTTAGTTTATATAAAAACGTCTATATGTCAATAAATAATTCTGGTAAGGACGACGTTAACATAATATCACAATAACCATCTTTAAAAACGGCTATTTTATAAAACTACTATTAATATATGGTTTTTAATAATTAACGTTTTTAAATAATATTAATTTAACTCGTATTTAAAAAATGTCATATTAGTAAGAAAACAAACACAATTTAACTTTGTATTTTATCTACATTTGATAGTTTAGTGCATCATGGGTTCGTCATAACAAATAAAAAAAAAACCTTAACTCTTATCTTTTACCATATGGTTCTTTATTTCAATATTTGTGACAGGGGTTATTTTGACTGGTATATGTATCACAAAAACTATTTACAGTCACTATAACAGTATGAGATAATCATGACAAATATTACAGTGTCAAACATTAGTTTTAAATAATAACTATGAAA